TATATTATTCATTAGTAAGAAAGAAAAGAAGTGTTTTACAAAAGAGAGACAGTGGTGACCAACTTAACCAAGTGACTAACCATCATTGCCATTCATGGGACAATCTGACATATGTCTCTAGCCTTGCTACAATAAAAAGTATATAAAACAGTACCTGTGCACTATAACTGCCAAAAACGATTCCTCTCATATAATAATGAATAAACACTATAAGACAAATCCAAAAAGTGCGTTGTTCTACAACAAAACTAGCTTGGACCCTTCGAAAACGTCAGTGTCATGGAAACAAAGGGCAGAGAAAATGGTGGATCATTGCTTCTTGGGCTTGAATGTGCATAGATCCCTGGGGACCTTGTTAAAGCAAAGTTTTCAATCCAGTAGGTTGAGAATGGGCCTAGGATTTTGCGTTTCTAATAAGCTTCCAGGACCACCCTTAAAATAGCAACATTCTAGATTAACAGGCATAACCAAATGCAGTATGCAACCTGAGACTGGATTCTAGATCTCCCAAACTAAACAGGGCACAGTGCCTGTAGAAGATGCCTTTGGACAAGTGGGAAATTGAAGTGTGGACTACATATCATTATTAAATAATGTTACCAAATTAACATTAACTCTCTTGGCTCTGAAAATGTCTTTGCAGTAAGTAGGAGATGGGTTGAAATCCAGGTAGGTGAAAGGTCACACTGTATGCAACTTCGTATATAGGTTATATAAGTACCATTCTATTTTACTGAAGGCTTAACATTTTCAAAATAAAATTCTGGGCATAAGACATGATCCTTTTAACCCTGAAAGAGATTCAGCTTGCATTCCAGCTATTCTGTAAACCCCTCCTTCCCTCACTGCAAAGATGTTCCTAAGCAGAAACTGTCTTCTTCTCCTGTGGTCTATGGCATTCTGTGCCATTCTGCCCCAAACCAGAGAATTCCCAGAAAATAGAAGTCCTGCCCTATTCACTTGGTCCTCCCATCATGGCAAATTGGATCAAGCATAGGCTTGACCCTGAGATTATCAGAAGATTTTTTTGATTGATAAAATTGAATGCATTGAAGAGAGTAATTTGGGTAGAGGGAAGCACCACAGGGCATGTCAACACACTTCTTTATTTTATTGGAACTTGAAACTAGAAAAACCAGACCACCACCTCACTTACTACCCTTAAACAGGCACTGCTCCACTCTTGGTAAGGACACATTGTTTAAAAAAGGAATTTTCTTTGCTTATAAAGAGAAAAGAGGCAGCTGCTTGCTCTTCTTTCTACAAGGGGCCTCCTTTCAAACCTCATGATCCTGAGCCTCTTCCTTGGCACTAACCTTGTTGAATGGAAATGGATCTCTCAAGGGGCTGGGTAAGCCCAGTCTCGGGTTTGCAGCAGAGATGGTCCTTTCTAGAGCCAACCTGGCATGCAGCCTACCTCCTTCTCTAACTAACCTTTGTCTCTGGAGAAAAGAGAAATTGTATTGTTTTTGCTTTGCTGTGTAAACTGTGTGGAATTTCATCCTGACATACCTGTGTGTACTATGTGGTGCTCACTCAATAATAAATTACTTTTCTTTTTATCTTGAGTTGAAGAGATGTCTCTTTGTTGGCAGTACTTTTACTTCCTCAAGACTATTCTGGTACAATCTCTTTGGAAGCTGATTGGCAGTATTTACTGAAGTGAAAAATACACATTCTATTCCTACCACTAGGAATTTATCCCACAGATATACTTGTAGACATGCACAGCTAGCACAATTCTAGGCACAGATAAATTATGATGCAGTCATTTAATAGGATACTATTGTATGACTGCCTCATACAAAGGTAGGTTTCCATGTATTAGCATGGATGAATCTCCAAGAAATACTGTCAGTCAATAAAGTAAGATGGAAAATTATGAGTTTACTATAATTATATGTGTGTACTATATATTTGTAGATACATAGATTTTGGGAAGGGCAAGGAAGTATCTGTTAATGATGATTATCTCAGGAAAGGGAGATTGGTGGTTGGGTGGGCAGGGCATAAGAGACTGTTACTCCCCCCACTTTTTTCCTTGTTTCCTGTTTATTTATCTTAAATAACTTAAATATAATATTTTATAATAAACATATGGTTTAAATGTAAATAAAACAAAGTATAACCACATAGACACAGAGGCATTACTAGACTACTGTTTCATAAGCAACATGAAATCAGGATTTCTGTTGGCTTTTTCAAGGCTATATATATCCCCATTGCTCAGAACAGTGTCACGCACACAGTAGATGCTCAATAAACATTTGTAATTGAAACCCAAGTGCCTTCTTTGTCCAAAGAATTTGACTTTGGAGTTATTTGATCTTCAGGACAAATCTCAAGGCAATCTTTGTTGATTTTCCTACATGCCTTACATCTTCTCTTCTCCATCCCTTTGCTCATGTTGCTCTTTTGACTAAGAGGGCTCTCCCCTTTGATCCCCCTTCTTCAACTGCTTGAAGTTATACACATCTCTCAAGCCAACCCAAATCTTCAATCTCCAGTGGAGTTTTTGTTAGACTTTCCTGTTCTGTCTCCTTAACTTGGGATCTTATAGTAGCCCAAGGTGCCTTCTTTCCACCACTTACAATAGGTTATGACTTATTTTAATTTTTTCTGCACATGTGCCTTTTTATCTACAACTGTGACTTCTTATGCCAGTAAAACCTTTCTCATGGTTCTCTACCCCTGCTCCCATCTATCCTCACAGACTGCTATGTGGCCATGAACCCATTTCGTTTTTAATAATTGGGATGTGAGTTTAAATTTCTTGGGTATCTCCCATTGATTTTTTTTTAAAGCATAAGTCCTGTTATAGTCTCTCTCTCTCTCTTTCTCTCTCTCTCTCTCTCTCTCTCTCTCTCTCTCTCTCTCTCTCTCTCTCTCTCTCTTTCTCTCTCTCTCTTTCTTTCTTTTCTTTTTTTTTTTTTTTTTTGTCTAAGTTACCCCTATCCTAAAGTCCACCTACATTCTCTCTTCCTGGGGAAGCCTTCCCTGAATGCTTGAGGTCATGGAGATAACCCTTCTCTTCTCTTAAAAACAGTTAATATCTAAACAATTTACTAGAAACAATATGTGTAAAACAATACTTAGCACTGTTTTTAAGTGAGTAACTGATACTTCTCAGGCTAAGAAATCACAGCCTACAAACCACACAATCAGATTGTGAAATGAATCTTTTCACATCCAAACATGAGAGCTAAGTAAAAAGAAATGGATGCACAAGACAATAAAGATCCCCAGAGAAGACTGAGAACAAAGTTTCTTAGTGCTTCTATTGCTGTCAGTATTGGAAAAGGGAATGTTTTCTCATTAAGCAATCAAGTAGCTGACTCTACCACTTTCTCAAGATGACTTAGCTCAAGCTCTGTCCCCTTTCTGTTCCTCATTTTCCATGTTTACAAAAATGAAGCAGAAAGATGCATGCCAGTTCCTTTATGAAAAGAATCAATTCAACTAAAAGTGGGATTTGAATAAGAACTATTCTGGAGTTCTCTAGCTTTATCTCACCATCACCACCCCACCACAGTCATACCCCCCATCTCAGAAGTTCTAGATTTAACCTTTAACTAAATACCTTTAAGTCCACTCCAGTTTCTTTTCTTTGACCATTGCTATAAAATGATACACCTCGGGTTTACATCAAATTAGAATTATAGAAAATTATAGAGCCTCTACCAAAAAAAGAGTGCCCTGGAATGTTTTCAGAGTATTATTTTTAGTAGATATAGATAAGGCCATTAAATGACGAGTCTCATACACTCTACCAACGAAATCAAACAGAGCAATTTTGTTTCCTTTCACTTTTATGGAGATATGAGACTCAAAGTGTCATTTAAATTTCAAAGCTTGAGGACACTTAAGAAAATACACCAAAGCCTTTTAAAGCCTGATTCTTTTAGTAATCCATGAGTTGTAGAGCCTTCAGCCTAAGGGGGTGGGAGGGGCACGTTCTGCGGGGGCTATAATGTCACCCAAGTGGGAACTATGAGGGAACAAACAGAAACGTTCTCACTCTGGCAGGGTGGGGAGAGGGTGCAGTTCTTAAGCTATCAAAATTAACAAAACCTTTACTTAAGAATTCATCAACAACATGTACTTCCAGACACTGCTCTTTATAACACCTACTGGTGGATTCTCTGTAAACACCACTTTCTTAAAATGAGAAAGCTTCCTCCTTCATCACTTCGGTTTTTGCACCAAAGCTCACCTTTATTTCAAACAAAGGTGGTCTCCTGCGAGGTGTGACTCTGCCGAGCACGCCCATAATGGCTTGTAGCTTCAGCATTCTGAGCAGTCTCAGAGGAAACAGGTGTTAAAAACATTTCTGTGATCTGCCTCTGGGCTCTGTTTCTTGTGACACCCTCAGCTCTTCAAAGTGTTGACTTGCGAGGGAACTTTCAATTTGTCTTGTGGGTTTTAATGCTAAAATGCTGAAAGCTCTAAGCGGCTCTGATCTTCCCTTTTGCCCCTTCCCTTTCAGACTTTGGCCTCAGACACTTAGTTTTTTTTTGTTTTTTGTTTTGTTTATTGTTGTTGTTTTTTAAAGCCCTTGACAATGAATGAGGCCACAGGAATCTCAGGAATATTTGATCTGAGAATATAGAACCTGGGGATCTGGTCTGAAGACTCTGATAATGTGAGAAGAAGTTGTACAAATAATGTTACCTTGTCTCCTTATTGCTTCCTTCCTTGCTCAGAGTCCTTGGCTCTGTATGATTTAAACCTTCATTTCTCAGGGCTAAGAGCTTTTCTCCCTCTTTTGGCTCAGGGAGTCTAGAAAGTTTTGAGATGATAGCTCAGCAAACCTTTCTTTCCAAAAGCCAAAATATTTCAGAGAGTTAAGTTCCCGTTTCTCTACTCCCTTTCTCTACATGATTTGTGTACTTTTAATTTTTAAACCTCCCCGCTAATTTATTAGCTGATTCCCAAGACTCTCTCTCGGGGAAACTGAACATAAATCAGAAAGGAAAGGCGAGGAGGAGAAGTCCACTTACCGACTTCTGAACCACCAGCACCATGATGGTCGCCACAGCGAAGATGAGACATACAGCCAGGGTGGCCGTGGTGAAGCAGAAGTAACTGCGGCTCGTGGTCCCCCAGTGGCTGGTGATGGAGCCTGCTGTCTCGTGCATGGCTGTGTCTTGAGAAGGGGCCACTCGGTGGAGTGCTCGCTGCAGCCCGGGGCCCATTCTTATATAGTCTTCCCCGCATCACACCTTATCGCTCCTCATCTGCTTCGGTTCTGGGTTCATCTGGGTTCCAAGGAGGATTCTCCCCTGAATCCTGGATCATGTGACTTGGAAAAAAACCTTCACTGGCTGCCTTGCAAAGAAACTCTTCTCCGGGGGCGTGAGGTACAAGGCAGCAGCATGGGTGGAGGAGAGGCTCATTTTTCATCGCCAGAGATTAAGTTGAGCACAGAGACAATGCAGCGACTCAGGAGGTGGCTGATGTCAGAGGGCGAGTAGGAAAATGACGTGTGTGTGTGTGTGTGTGTGTGTGTGTGTGTGTGTGTGTGTACAGAGTCACTTCTGTTTCATTTAGACTCAGCCGCAAAGTGCCTTCCTGCTTGAGAAGCTGCACTCTCTCTTTAGGGAGGCTTTTGGGTGAGAAGACCTGTCAGAAATGCCTCTCTGAGGATTTGGGGGATGGGGCTGGATTCCTTGGGTTCCGCTGGACAAATTCCCTCCTGCTGAAAACTGAAGATGCTACTGATATAGATATCCATTGATGTAGAGATTGATCCAAAGAAAGACAAACTGTAGAAGCATGAAATGTGGGGCAAGTACAAAGGGACTGTTGAGTAGGAAATCCGAAAACACTGATCTTTGGAATAAAAATTTCTGCTGAGTGTATTGGGATCTGTTGAAGTTGCAGACAGACTTGGGCTTGTCATAAAACTCACAAAGAGGGGAAGGGATGAGCCATGAGAGAGGGGATGGGGAAGTGGTCTTGTGCTGAATGTGGGGGGAGGGGTGTGTGTGCCTATACTGCATGCAAGTGTGGTGCATGCTGTGTGCATTGTGATATGTGGTGCATGCTGTGTGCATATGTATGTGTTGTATACTGTGTGTGGTGTGTGTGTATGTGACTATTATACTTGAACTTATGTTGTCTCAGGCACGTGCTAGGAGCTTCATGCATGTCCTCACTCCACCCTCACCTGCACAGTCTGAGGCAGGTAATAATTTCATTTTTTTCCAGAGGGGAAAATTGAGAGAGTGAAAACTGTTTCAAGCAAATTTGCTAATGTTAATCAATGAGCTAAGGGGTGCATAGCCATACCTGGCTAGCCTTCAAGCCCATGTTAAACCTTTCAACCATCTCTGCACTTAAAGGCTGGAAGCTTGAGGTTGGGTCTCAGCCTTGCCCATTACTGGCCTTGGGTCCTTGTACAGATTCTTACAGCCCTCCCTTTGACAGCCACTGTGAAGATGAAATGGGATGGTGGTGTAACAGCACTTTGTGAGTGGGAATAGACTTGGCCGTGGTGTTGGACCATTCCAGTTAAGCATCTGCAGTGGTCCCCTGGGTCCGGTGTGGAATTTAGATGGGTTCATTGAATGAACCCATAGTTTATCTGAGGGACAGAGCTGCTTATTAATGCTACCCATGTCAAAACACCATTGAAAATGTGAGCCACTGCCGAGCCCATGCCTCTGGATACAGCTCTGAAAACTTCCCCTGGAAACACCCAGTTCTTTGCAGCACCCTCCCCTTTCTTCTCTAGGTTTGGCTGCAGTGTATCTCCAGCACCAGCAGAAACCCCAGATCCACCCAAGAAAATGTGGCCCGAGCCAAGCTTGGATTATTACCATTGCAATCTCTGTGGGAATCCCAGGCTGTTGAGCATCACCCAGTTAGTCAGACTAGGAACTAGCCTGGATGTTCCTTCCCAGTGAATCTATCAGAGCATAAATTCTGGATATGGAAGAGCTGTTAAGACGTAAAATTTTTATTTTTTTTATTTGTTTTTTTTTTTTTGGTTGAAGAGAATGGTATGCTGTGTACCTATTTTATACTCAAGGAAGCTGAAGCCTCCCAATCCCAAGTTGGGATTTTATTCGCCCCCCCTATTTTATTGAGAAATAATTGACATACATCACCGTATACATTAAAGATGTATAGGATGATTTTTTAAAGCGGTGAAATGATTCCCATAGTAGGCTCAGCTGACATCTGAGCTTGGTTTAGGAAGAAGTTGGCACACACACTCGTTTGGTCTGGTAACTGGGGTGGGAAGGAAGCAAGTTAGTGCTGTTGTCTTTCTGTGTGTGTACCTGGCCAATGTGGGGAGAAGGCTGTGTCCTGTGATGGGCATGGGCAGTGAGTGGGTAGTGGGGGCTCAGTCATCTGCCCAGAGCTGCTGAGAAAAGCTGCTCCCTCGGCCTCTCTCTTTAGTCTCTTTGATGAAAGTGGAAAACTTCTGATTGTAAAATGGCAGCTGTGGGTGTTGAAAATAAAAAAGCTTTGCTTGAAGTGCAGGTCTTCCTGAAGGCCCTTGATGGCTGAGAAGGGCAATGGAAAAAAATGTTTGTCTTACAGTCACCTGTTTTGCATACAGTACAATGTCCTGGGAGGGAAGGCTGACAAGGGGGAAAATCAAGCTTTGTGTTTACACAGAACCTTCTGCGCAGTTGAGATTTCCAGGTCAGTTTGCGTCTCTGGCAGCTGCTGGGCCTGATTTCACTTCTCTCCCTGGGCAATTCTCCACTCACAGACTTCAGCGGTTTCCTGACCACTGCCCCTGTGCATTAAACTTCTCTCTGTGCCAAGCTGATCCAGAAGCTAGCCTGGCCACATCCATGTGCGAACTGGCTGCTTTCTTCTTTCTGTTCGGTCACCCAACACACCAATGGAAAAAGTTTGCAAACTGTCTTGTTGCGTGGTTCTCAAATCTTCCTGGAAGTGAAAGTGCAGGGAGTGAAACTGTAGGAAAGTAGGGGTTCTCTGGAGACGTGAATGGGACACAGGGAAGGGCTGAGCCCAGCTGCTCATTTTACCTGCTAATGGCCTGGGGTCTGTCCAAGATGGAACAGCATTTGAAAACTTGTGATTTAGCTCAAAACATTCATTGCTCAGACAGTCACTCCAGAGAATCCAAGATGGCTGCTCAGGTAGGCACCTAGCCGCAGCCGCATGCAACGATTTCAATAAAATACAACTAAAATATAAAACGGACATTACCCAGAACTACAGAAAAGTCGACTGAATGGAAATTCTACAACAAGAAGCAAAGAGGAAACCAGAAGGAAGAGCGGAGGAGCTGTAAAAGCCCAAGGTACGGAGACGCGCGGCGCGGAGAGGACGGAGCCAGAGAGGAGGGAGGCGGAGTGCCTGGCTGGCGTTCCCTAGCGGGAAGGAGATAAACTCCGATTGTGCTGGGCCCCAGTTCCGACTGCTCTGAACCCCAGTTCTAGGCCAGACCCCGGGACCCAGGCTCACACAGAGGGAGCTGGGCTGCGAGGCGGAACCCCGGGGAAGAGGCGAAAGGAGGTCCCCGCGCAGAGAAGGGCCGGCCGGCTGTGCCGCGGGATTGCCCTGGCGGGAAGGAGACAGGGGCTCCAGACTGCTCTGAACGCCACCTCCAACTCCACTTCCAACTGAACTGAACCCCAGTTTCGGGCCCATTGGGGGAGAGACTAGACTGTTTGGCAGCAGGCGAAAATCAAGGGCGCTTTTCTCTCAGAGGCGCTTGCAGCAAGCACTGAAGGACCCTGAGTCTCAGGAGTCGCATAGGGCGGGGCTGACAAAGCTGTAGGCTCCACCCTGAAACCCCGCCCCATCAGGAAAGCTGCCTGTGAAAATGCCTAAACCAAATAGATCACAAACGAAAGAAATGGAGGACAAAAAGCGACTGGATATAGAGTTCAAAACCACACTTATAAGGTTTTTCAAGAGTTTCCTAGAAAAGGCCGATAAAATAAATGAGACTTATGAGGATATGAAAAGAGATCAACAAGAAATAAAGAATACATTGTCTGAAATAAAAAAATATTATGCAGAGTCCTAAAAACAGAATAGAAGATCACAAGAATCAAGTCAAAGATCTGGAACATAAAGAGCCAAAAGACACTCCTCTGCAGAAGCTAGAAGGCAAGAGAATCCAGAAAATTGAAGATGATGTAAGAAACCTCTGGGACAACTTCAAACGATCCAACATCAGAATTATGGGGGTCCCAGAAGATGAGAGAGAGCAAGATATCGAAAACATATTGAAAGAAATAGTGACAGAAAACTTCCCCCACCTGGGGAAAGAATTGGACTTACAAGTCCAGGAAGCACACAGAACTCCAAATAAAAGGAATCCAAAGAGGACCACACCAAGACAAATCATAATTAAGATTCCAAGAGCAAAAGACAAAGAGAGAATATTAAAAGCAGCAAGAGCTAAGCAGATAGTCACCTATAAAGGAGCACCTGTACGATTGTCAGCTGATTTCTCAACAGAAACCATGCAGGCCAGACGGGAATGGCAAGAAATATTCAAGGTGATGAATAGTAAGAACCTACAGCCAAAGATAATCTATCCAGCAAAGCTATCACTCAGATTTGAAGGTCAGATAAAGAGCTTCACTAATAAAAAAAAGCTAAAAGAGTTCATCACCACCAAACCAGAATTATATGAATTGCTGAAAGGGGTTGTTTAGGAAGAGGAAGAAGATAAAGATAAACATTATGATCAACAAATACGTAACTATCAACAAGTGAATCTAAAAACCAAGGAAATTAAAAAAAAATCTGAGGAACAATATTAACTGTTGAATATAATAGAATCAGAGGTATGGAAGGGGAGTGAACTGATGATTCTTGGGGAAAAGGGAAGAGGGGGATGTGGGAAGAGACTGAACATAAACTGTGCACCTATGGATGAGGATAATGGGGGGTAGGGAAAGGACGGGGGGGGGGAAGGAACATTTGTAATAATATGAACAATAAAAATTTATTAAAAAACAAACAAACAAACAAAAATTCATTGCTCAAATTGGAAAACTGAGAAAAATAAGTGGAAATGACTTGTGGGAGTTCACATGGGGAGGGTAGAGATAAGCTTAGAAGTCCCTGTGCTCATTCTCATCTCTCCTCTGCTAATGTTGCAGGAACACCCAGGTTTCTTCCCAAGTTCTTTCTACCCTTTCCCTGTATCAGGTCCTTCCCATCCCTCAAGGACCTGCCAGCCTGCCTTCCC